AGCCGCCCAGCTCATTTTATTTAGTCTACTAGTTTTAAGACAAATAACAGTGTCAAAGTTGCTTGATTTTCATACAAATTCAAACGCGCGCCCACCATTTTCTGAAATAATGACGTCACGCTGTCAAATCAGCTGTTCGCTTTGCATAACCTACTATCACTCAATCGTGGTGTGCGCTTACTATGAGAACTTAATTGTTTGATAACTTTGTTGGTGGACATATGATCTTCATGAAACTTTCAGGTTGTAATTATAACAATAATATGCATGCACTTGCTAAAGCACAAGTCTCTAGTATTTGAAATATGCCTTTTACAAATGGGATGGTGAGGGGGTGAAAATGGGGGAATAACAAAAACCGAGAACCACGCTTCTTTCTGCCTGTTACATCCATTTCAACAAAACCATTATACCCTGATTTCCCATTGAAAATGGGTTCAGGGTATAAAAATTGTAATTCTTTCCGAGCTGGATTAGATCGAACTTAAAAATAATTACACAAGTATTATTTATATAAAAGCTTTTTTATTACTCATAAGCTTAATGTCAATTTTAATAATTTAAATTAATTTTTATTTTATTTAATTTTTTGACTTATTGCAATATGATACTTTGTATTCATAACTTAGAGAATAAATCATACTGTAATTTTGTTTATGTTTTCAAAACTCGATTTAGGTGCAACTACGAAATGTTTGGCTACAGGCCACTTTGGGATTCGTATTACTAATTATAGAGACTAATTAGTTACACTTAATTACACTTATATCAGCCTCAGGATATTTGAATATGGTTGCGTGATACTTGTCTCCAATGGATGATTGTTTAACTATAACAAGGAAATATGTGGATTTCAATTATAAATCAAATATTCCTAAATTATATTTAACGGAAAGGTAGAATTTACCTTTACAATGGTATTTTGAATAAGATTTCTAACTTAAAGTTTTCGCGGTAGTTTTTAAAGGGCAACGTCGTGTAGTTCAGGTGTCGTTGGCATAATTTTAACTGTAATACATGCATCAGAACGTTTGATATGAAATGATTTTTTGTAGTATGCAAATTTTTTGTCATTTACCAGCTTATATGCCGTCCCATTCAGGGTTATATGTCCGATGTGCTACAGACAGATGTTCCACTGTCCTATCATATGCTTGCAAATCGGTGCATAGTTCGTGGTTCGTCATGTCTTCAATATCGAATATTTCGGTAACTTGTAGTTTGTTGATATTGATATCTGTATAATAATACGAATATAGCGAGTCGCAGTGCGTAGACATCTCAAGAACATGCCCAACTTCTCTGCCTATTGGGGTTGTCACACTATGAAAAAGTGACGTTGAGTACAATAGCTTAATTTAAAGAGTTGCTATTTAATTACCCTTCATCGACCAGAATTGAAACCTGTGGCCCACAAATATGGTTGGAATGCAATAGGCCAGTCGCATCGAAATGAGGCTGATCGTAAAGCTGTGTGGCAATTTAAGTACATTAATATTTGTATTTTAAAAACCATAGGTTGTTCATAATTAATTACTTACCGTAAATTTGTTAAGAAAACGAACTGTCATAGTATTGTTTAGCTGATCAATAAACTCTTCTACTATGTGACACATTCGTTTAGTCAATTTTGGCGTGAGAGTGGTAAGTCTGAAAAAAAAAGAATCGTTCACTCAAAATTAGTAAGCGTCAATCACATAGAAACACGATCTAACGCACTTTGAAACTGTAGCCAGGAAAAAATCCATCGGTACGGTAGCTGGCAGTGAAAGCAATTTCATGCTCCGATGCTTGAAAATCCAATTGGCCAAGCCTTTGTTCGCCTGCTCTATGTAGTCTTGTATAACCACCATTACTGTTTCTGGCAAGTTGGAACTCAATGCATCCTGCAAAATATGTTTGAAAACAGTGGCATTGCTAAATATGTATATCAAATGCATACCGTTCTATGTTTTTTGCATTCACGGCACTCTGACTCAGTCTCTAGGGATGATGCAACAGTCTCAGATACTACATATGTGGACTGAACGGCTACACAACGTCTGCAGTTAATCAAGTTGTTACGATGCAGAAATTGCAGTGCATCATCAAATCCCTGCTGACAAAATTTTGACAGGAACTCGGCTCTCGGCGGAAACAAAATACGTACAAAGCGGTTGATGTTTTGTCGTGATATTTCGATACTTGTATTGGCCCAGTTTAGATGGAATAATTGGGAGCTCTGGTCCCGTGGACAAATATCGCTCTCGCCGCAAAAAGGGCTTACAGTGATTGTGTTTTCATCTAGTATTGGCAAATTATCTGAAAATGCACCATCCATATAGCGCACGCCACGAAATCGCGGCGGCAAAATTCCGGAAAAGCCAGGAATAAAGCAGGCACAAAGTAGAGCGTCCAACACTTCTTTGCGTGAATTGAAATCAGATATGATCACGTTCTTTCCATCGTAAACGCGAGTTAAAGAGATGTGCAGGCGCCCGCTGACGCGCTTGTGTGCGTCATCGGGGAGATGTTTCTGGAGTCCTTCTAGCAAACAAGTTTGTATGTTAAATGACGGACTAAATGGTCCAAGCGAATGACGTCGAGCCTCGTTTACCACACGAAAAAAGTCTGATGTCATGCTGCCTTTAAAGAGACGTAAAAACAATCAAATTATTGAAATATTGTTAAATTTATATCAATCATATTCTGTAAGTTATATATACATATAAATGGTCTATGAAATGTTGCCGAATGGGAAGGGCCCCCACCTGCTAGTCATAAAGTTCTTTCAGTCCGACTTTGGGCTCCAACACATATACCCGATAGGACATTATAAAAGCCGAGGAATAAACGATAGTGTCAGGCGTTACCGACTGCATAATACAGAAAACTGGAAGACACAAGTTATTATTGACTTCGCCGCTCCATATCGGTACATAAAATATTTAAAAATTTAAATTTTTATTCTCTTCGTTCAATAGAGGCACATTTCTTTGTATTCGTTCTCCAAGAACAGCAGGGCGGACATTGTACAAAACAATATACCCATTTAACTTTTTGAAAGAGTATAATCAACTTACATGTCAGAACATGTGTATGTAAGTATGAACTCCACAGCTGTTGAAAATCAGGCTATAATGGTTTTGTCAAAAGTATGTAACAGGCAGAAGGAGGTGTAGCAGACCCCACAAAGTATGCATATTCTTGATCAGGGTGACGAGCTGAGTCGATCTAGCTCTGTCCGTCTGTCCGTTCGTCTGTCCGTATGTTTGAACGCTTCTATCTCAGAAGATACAAGAGCTAGAGACTTGAATTTTTTTCTAGGTCCGTGTATATCACGCGCATATTCAGTTATTCTCTAAATATCGATAAGAACTCCCGATATATTATCATCGATTAACAACCTTATCGAAAGCTAGTTATTTAATTATATCTATCCAAATTTTGAATGTAGACTTTTATGTATTTTATATAATTTCGGTTTTTGTTTTAATTTATCCCCCACCCCTATATCCACCCCCTCACCATCACCTTTGTAAAAGGCGTATTTCAAATACTAGAGACTTGTGCTGTGGCATATACAAGCACTTTAATGTTATATTAACGAACTCTCATGAGCATAGTTAATCAACAGAAAAAGTTATTAAACAATTAAATTTCCATAGTGAGGCCACACTGCTCCCAATGCGTGTTTATGCTTGCATCCATATATTTTTCCATGAGTGAGTGAGTGTGTTTCTTGTGTAAGCAAAAAGACTCGAAGAATTACTGTGAAATATCAATTCTTCGAAGGGTTCAGGAGATCTCGTTACCTGTTATTCTAGATTTTAAGTCAGCTGACAATGGGGCTCGTCTATATGTTTATGTTTTGATATTTTGATGGTATGATGTACCGTCCCCACACGTAGAGCTTAACAATTTTCGCACACAAATAACAAACAAGCGTTAGATAGTAATTTAATGCAGAAAGAAGTAATGTCTATTAAATATATTCTTTAATTAAAATAAAGCAAAGGTATACGGAAAGATAAATATACCTATCTGTCATGCATGC